AGTGTCTTTGTAGTTAGCCTGTGAAGCAGCTAAGAAGGCAGATTTATCTGAGCTTGATAACCTTTACGATGCTCTCGCTATTTCCGCTGACCTTCCGAACTGTGCTCTACCGAGCGTAGCGGGAGCGCAGGTGAGCAATTTCTCTTCGACCCTTTCTCTTTCTTCTAATTGACATTCTAGTAACATTTAGGCAATATAGTTTCTGATGAACACAACATTATAAAATCTTGGTAATACATTCTTGAGTCAGTCGTGGTCCTGTTATGAAAACATTGCTTTGTTTCTTTACAGCTAGCCTTCAGGTTCTTGCGGAACAAATTTGGAGCGTTATTGAAACGATTGTTACAAATCTCTTTTTTGCTGAAGCTATCAAAACATTGTTCATCTCAGAGGGACGCTTGTTACATAATCTAGAGGATTGTACGTTCAAAAAGTTTAGGGGATCTTTTGATTGATTAGAAATCTGCACCTAAATACTCTGAGATTCCTAGTCCTCTGAGTCCTTGAGATAATTTCTCGATTTGAATAGTTTTTTCTAAATGTGATTCATCGCTTTATTATGTCAAGGGCAAATCCTTCGGTACCTAATCAAAATATTCGTAGTAGCTGTTGTATATTTGTATATATTACACAGTTTGTAGTAGAATTTGCTCTTAGTCATCAGTCATTGCAGTGCTTGTTGAAATCACGTATCCCTATTCATTTTGCACTTTAGAAGTTGATCGACGGAGTGATTAAAGAAATTACTCCTAATGGTGAGAGGATTTACCGAGCTCTTCGCTCAGCTGATCGTCTAAACATCAAGGCAACGCTATTGTTTTTGATTTACATCCGCTTTCTTTGCAGATGGCAAAAAAAAAAAATTTCAGGTGGACCAGGGCGCCTTTGATAAGATTTTACTTGAGGCAATGAAGGAAGACTCCCCTCTCAAGTTAGTAACCTCATGCAGTATTGTCTTTATTTTCTGCAGTTATCATTTTAGTTTGGGATGGGTTTTCAATGCTGCAGCTTTATTGAATAAGGATTTGGTCTCGAAATACTTTGATAAGATCAAAAACTTGGTTTCTCAGGCCGATGAAGTAGATAAAAAGTTTTTGCAGGTACACTTTTCAGAATCATTTTCAATAACAATTTACTTTTGTTGTTGTTACAGTTTGAGGGTGGTCTTACCACTACTGCAATTGCAGTACATGGCATTATGTCGTTGGCTGAGAAACAAGGAAAGGTTCCAGCTTTATCGCAGGTGAACGTTGCTTGTCTCACTTATCCACTTTCGCTCTTTTGCTGATGATTTTGGATTGTCTTTTAATTCGCTACGGAATTGTGCTGTTCAGGAGCAGACACTTTTATTCTCTAATTACCTTTTGTCGCGCAAACATGTGTCCACTGAGAGGGCTGCTTTCCATCTGCTAAAAGCACTGGGTGTGCTTGTAAATAATCACCAACTTGTGCCAATAACGGTATCACTGGTTGGGCCTGTCATGTTCGATCGTATGCAGGTGAAGCTCAATTTCTGATTCTTATTTGTGCCTACTCATCTCCGCATTAGCCCATCAAAATTGCTGTTACGAACGTCTTTGGTCTACCCATCGAGGCAACTGATGTTCATGTGGATATCACTCCTCTTGGATCAGAACGCGCTCTTGCAAGCAACGTGAAAATGAACCGCTTGAGCTCGTAAGTTGCAACCAATTTTGCCTTGTGCTGTGAAGTACTCTATGCTTATTAAAGGGATCCGAAGATATGGACCATTAGTTCTGATAAAATGCCCGAAGAAAACGGTTTTGTTACTCTCAAAGTAAAGATTGATTCAAAGGTTTGTGTCTGCTATAGGACGAGTCTATATGCTTTCTTTCACTA